TAGAAGCCTTAGGGGGATTTCTCCATTAGGACTTGAGGAGAAGCTGTTACCCAGTAAACCTGGTGACAAGAAAGATCCAAAGAATTCACTATATGTGCCTTAACATTGCTACATAAACACTCCATTTATATATCATGTGTTGCTTGAACACTTATGAATTCAGGTTCAAAACTGTCAATGTCCCACGGTAAGCTTCTCTAGGAGGATGAGGGGTCGGTCTTGTGATGAGAAAGGGTTTGTTTGTGTGTCCCATTCAGTGGCTTAAAACTGGACCCTACAGAGTGATGAATGATGCAGGAACCAGACCCACTAAGGAGTTCAGTTTCACTCAACAGCTCTCTCTCAATCATTCTGCCTCTCATTTTCTCCATCATTCAAAATTTTTCTCACTCTCACTTTACACACATGCACACACACACAGATATACATGAAAAATGTTAGGCATATTGTATAAACTCATGAACTACTTCACATATTCTGCCTTAATGATGATAGATGACCGTGAGTGTGAAAAGGGTAAATACCCCATCATCACTCACCAAAGAATGAATTATGCAGCTGCCAAATGAAAGCCTTACTACACTTCATAAATCAATTAATCTCTTGGAAAATATAGAATGAATATCTTACATATATTCCTATAAAAATTCTTATAGTAAGTTGAGTATGTAATAGACTTATTATCGTCAACATGTAAGGAATTTAAATATGTCTATCTAAATCTTTACAAACTACATTCATTGCACTTAAGAGTAATCTTTAAAAAAACAAAAATAATTTTTTATTGTTATTTATGGTTCCATGAAGAACCTTTAACAGCCATGGAATCTTTCCATTGCACAAAAGATTCTTTATTGTGAAAAAAGTTTATTAGATTATTAAAATGTTCCTCACTCCAAGAAAAAACTAAATGGTTCTTTTAAGAAATGTTCACTGAAACATTATTTGGGAAATCCCCAAATGGTTCTTCTATGGCATCACTGCAAACCCCCCTTTTTGAGACCTTTGAGTTATTTCTTATGAACTAGAAGTACCCTTACAAAAGTATATTTAAAGTTAATTTTATTAAGTAAACTTGAGTAAAGTTCAAGTATATTTTCCAAGTACAATTTATATAAGTATACTAAAATCAATGCTATGAACAATGTATAAATTTAAGCATTTCAATACTTCTTGGGACTAAATTGGCACTTAATTCATAGAAGTATACTCTTAAGTGTACCTTCAGTTTAATAGTAGTAATCCTTGAGTACACAACTGGTTAACTTCATTTTTTCTTTTGTATTGCAATTTAAAACTATATTATGAACTTTAAAGCATATACTCTTACACTCTTCATTTTACTGTTTCTCTTTTGGAACAAGCATTAAATAATGTAGTCCATGGGTAAAACCAGACAAATTGTCAACTGACCCAGCAGTCAACCAATAGAATGCAAAGGCTGAAATAAAAGCCTGTAGTTTAAGGGGGAAGCAAACAAAAAAAATTTGGTATTTGTTTGACCTGTTTTTATATAGGCCTCGACCTCGACAGTACAAAATGTTTCTTGATATAATATAAACAGTAAGTGTGGGTCAATAAACAATTTATTTCGCCGTTCGAACGTTCTATGACCAAAAGAGCTGCAACTATGTTTTAAGACACACAACCTATATCAGGGTCGGTGTTGTGCCTAATTTTGCACCCCTGCCAGATTATGCATGCCCTCGTTGAAATCGCTACCTGATTGCCTAATCCCAACCCCACACCTACTCCTAAACCTAGCAATACTAGCCCAGGTAGCCAGCGCAATTGGGTCAATTGCGGCTGAGTCTCGGCTCACTCGGCTGTGTTCTGGCAGCAAGCTCTGGCCCAGTAATGGGTTGCCAGATTTGGCTAGGCTTTGGATGTGCAGGTCTGGCCCGATTTGCACTGAGACACGGCACATTTAGCCACATTCGGCCCGATTACGGACCATAAGGGCTGGTCTGATATTGGCTGAGATATGGGCATGCAGACCCGGACCAGTTTAGGTTGAGTGCTGGGGGTAGGTCTCCGTTTACAATGTGGTAAATAGTATGTAGCAGTGACACTTAAACTTAAACATAATATCTTTTACCTGCCCATGTTATTTCTTAATGTATTTTTTATTTTTATTTTTTTTCCTTTTATCCAACATTCTCTTTTTTCTTTAACTACATTTGGAAATTAATTATTTAATTCATATAATGAAACAAGCTTAAAGTGGTTAAGGGAACTTTAAAAAAAAATTTGCTATATGAGTTTCAAGACATGCAGCTTTGACATCTAATGACAAAACCTGATAGGCTTTTCATGCTGCTAAATGCCAGAAGACCAGAAAAACTTGCTACCCTGGTGAGTAAACATTTGATAATCTAACATATAATATCATTTTAATAAACCGTTCTACACATTTAATACTACACATATAATATCAAAATAATGTTTATTTATAATGAAGCTATAAGTGTGAGTTCGCTGACATATGCCGCGTTCCAGGCAACCCGTAACCCGTGTTTTTCCAACCTTCTACCCGTGAAAGTGCAGTCAAACCCGTGACTTCCCACCCGTGAACTCGTACTAGATCAATGTACTCCCAGTTCCGCACTCTAACGTCACATAGCCCGCGAAACAACAATGGCAGCCCGTTTCTGTCAAGACTGCAGCTGTGCACAGAGCCTATACAGGGGGTAGTGCAAATGACATACTTGTATAACAAAATAATCTGTTTATTCTAGAAGTTTGTTTACATCTAGCTACCACAATTCCTTGCGCTCAGGCAGTTTGGTGTGACTTGCCTGGAACGCTACAAAGTCGTGAGTCGTGGTTTGAAGTCGTGACTTACGGGCTCAAAAACCTGCCTGGAACGCAGCAATAGTGCTAGAGTTTAGCTCCAATCATAATCAAGCACACCTGATCCAGCTAATCAAGGTCTTCAGGATTACTAGAAACTTCCAAGCAGGTGTGAGTTGGAGCTGGTTGGAGCTAAACTGTGCAGAGCTGGGAAAGGAACACATATGGATGTTATGGGGTAATTCATGGGGTCGGTGGGGATGCCATGAAAAGAAATGGTGTAAGGGCCAAACCCTTAATCGTTGTAAAGGTGACATATTTAGTTGACATGCATAAGTACATGTAGACTTAACAAAGACACTGTAAAATATGTATTTTATTTTAGTTGGAAGTAGATGCCATCTTTAGGATTTTAAGGTAACAATGTCATTTTCTGGAAAAACAAATTATTCAAAGCTCTGGTCTTATATCAAAACTGGAAGGAGTCTTTAATACACATATTTTAGAAGTTGTAATTCTGTATGAGTAAGTGTAAGTATATATATATATATATATATATCACACCAACCAAAATGGTACTCTTAGCCAGTACTGGCCCGAGTCTGGGTACTGAAACTGAGTATGTGTGATTGTGGCCCAATGCTGGTGGTGTTGGCCCAGTTTATATATATATATCACACCAACCAAAATGGTACTCTTAGCCAGTACTGGCTAAGTGTTTTATTTCTCGTAGGTGTGATTGTGGCCCAATGCCGGTGGTGTTGACTCAGGTTTAGTACCCAGACTCGGGCCAGTACTGGCTAAGTGTTTTATTTCTCGTAGGTGTGATTGTGGCCCAATGCCGGTGGTGTTGACTCAGTTTTAGTACCCAGATTCGGGCCAGTACCGGCTAAGTGTTTCAATTCTTGTCGGCGTGATTGTGGCCCAATGCCGGCAGTTTTTGCAGCCGGACTCAGACCAGTGTATTTGGGCCAATTCTGAGGCGTCATTCATCCCATGTCCATGCTGACTCTGGCAACTGCAGCCGGGCCAAGTTATTTCATCCGGCCTGCCGGATCTAGGCCATTATCGGGCCAAACCAGTTTGGCTTCCTGGGAGGGGATGCATAATCTGGCAGGGTGCAGAATTCGGCACGACACCTGGCTCCAGGCATGGGCAGGGGTGGGCTGAGCCCACCCAAATGGTTGTCTTGCCAACCCAATCAGAATTAGATAAAGATTGGGTTATTTATTTATTTATTTATTTTGTGCGGTGATTAAAACCAATCTGAAGTGGGCTGTATTGAAAAGTTTAAGATATAGCTGGAGCCTGCCCCAACAATTATAAAATAACACCATAAAATTGCAGCATTTTTCTTTTATTAGCTGAAAGCAAGGCGCGCTGAATTCATGCGGAGCTTCAGTCTGTTGCAGAAAAGCAGCTCTAGGCTGACAACGAGCGAAAAGGGGCAGAAATATTTATTTATCACGGGGAGTTTGTGAGTTACGGGGAGTTTAATACATGAGTATGTATCATAGCCTACCACTGAAATTACCTGAGCAGTTGAATTAATGTTCTAAAAAACCCACTCATTCAATAACGTGCATTCACTGCATGAACGGGGCAAGATAAGCATTTAAAATGCACGTAGGCTACACAGTTCAGTTGAAAGCTTACCCCTTTTGACTTGCTGTTAATGCTGAATGTTAGAATACAAACTGATAGCAAACAACACTGAAATAAGAGCTGTGCGATGAAAGTTGCGTTCGTTACTATAGCAACAGTCGGCTATTCTGTGAGGCAAACTATTCGATTTTTTTTAATCGTATATATAAAATATCGGTATAAATAAAAAAGTTAGTTCAAAAGAATCACCAGTGTAGAAACAATGATCCAGAGAAAGAGAACAAAGAGGTTTTTTTGTTTGTTTTTTTACAATTTAATAAAGAAAAAATATTTTATTTTGTTGTGAAAATTCATGATATTCTAGGCTGCCCATGAAAGCTTTTTTTCCGTGTACATATAATTTAGTTAATATAGCAATATCTACAGTATATCTAGACGCCCACGCCGAAAACATGCCCACCCAGGATATCTGCCAGCCCACCCTTCTATAGCTGTCAAGAACCAGGGCTGATATATATGCAAAAAACAGCAGAAACTTCAGCAGTGGATATCTGAGCGCCTTCTCTCGCTCCGCCCATACTTTACTATGAGAACAGGTTGGTACAGAAGAGAATTCAGTTATCCATAACTCCGCGTCAGACGTGTGTTCTGTCTCCTCTCAACTGAAGTAATGATGCTCGCGTATCTGGCGCTGCTGGTTGCGCTTTCCTTACCTAGATATCTGGATGCGCTTCATGGATTATACGCCTTCGACCAGCCCGAGCTCTTTCAGAAAAAGAGCAACTGCAAACCCATACCTGCAAACCTGCTCCTGTGCCATGACATCGAGTACACGAACATGCGTCTGCCTAACCTCCTCGGACACGAAACCATGAATGAGGTTCTGCAACAGGCTTCCTCCTGGACCCCTCTGGTGCAGAAACAGTGTCATCCGGACACCAAGAAGTTTCTCTGCTCTCTTTTCGCACCGGTGTGTCTGGATGATCTGGACGAGCCGATTCAGCCGTGCAGGTCGCTGTGTGAGAGCGTGAAGAGCGGCTGCGCTCCAGTGATGGCCGCGTTTGGGTTTCCTTGGCCGGACATGCTGGACTGCAATCGCTTCCCTCTGGATAATGACCTGTGCATACCACCTGCTGGCGCAGATGCTTTAGTGCCAGTCACCAAGGAAGGTAGAATTTATTATTATTATTAATTTATAATTTTTTTTTACTTTTTTTAAGTGCATGCACACCCTTTTACCTTTACTGCTATGTTGATCTTTTTGCCCAGTTCCAAGAGTGTGTGATGCCTGCAAAGAAAAGCCTGAGAATGACAATGAAATTGTGGACAGCCTGTGCAAAAATGACTTTGGTAAGGCTATATTGTGTTTGCTTTAAACATCTGAGTTAATGTAGTGGCATCTCTGCTTTACCGTCTTAAAAATAAAGATCAATTATAGGCTAACCAAAAAGGGCTATGCAACCTAATGTCATATAAAATAACCTTTAAAGGGGTCGCCCAAAAAAATGAAGATCATTTACTCACCGTCATATTGTTCTGTATGAAGTTCTTTTGCAGAACACAAATTAAGATTTTTTTAATGAATGTTCTCAACTGTTTTTGTCCATGCAGTGAAAGTCAGTGGGGTCCAGAACAGCACTGGAACCCATCGACTTTCTTTGTGTAGGCAAAAAAGAAAAAAAAAAAAGAAAAAAAGAAGAAGAATATCATATATGAATATGAATATGCATTTAATAAATGCATACCGGTTTAGAACAACATGAGCATAAGTAAATGATGACAGAAATGTTATTTTGGGGGGAACTATCACTTTAAATTCCACAAAAGACTTTATTTTCTTCTTCTTTTAAAAAAAATAAACAGTTTGGTGCTTTAAAGAACCCTGATCTGAAGAAGTTATAATGTAACATCAAGAAATGTTTTAATCTTCAAAGAATCATAA